GCTCAGAAAAGCTGGGCTGAACCGTCGCCCTCTCACCCAGGCTTATAGAGGACTGGTAGAGAGCATCCTCGCTACTAGCATCACAGTCTGGTATGGTAACACCACATAGGCAGAGAGGAAGGCTCTTCAAAGGGTCATAAAGACTGCAGAGAGGATCACTGGGACTGAACTGCCTGCTATGGACACATTGTAAACACAGCGCTGTCGTAAAAGGGCGGAGAACATACTCAGAGATCCACACCACCCAGCTCACTTTCTACTCAGACACAAAAACTGCACCTACAGTCTCAGGCACAGCAGGGCGGAAGTATCATCACACACAGAACTGGACTTTACAACAGCTTTTTCCCCCGCAGTAAGACTGATGGCAAATATGAAAATGTGAGAATATATGTGCAATAACCCCTTACTAGACATGTGCAATAATAATACAGAGATGTTCCACAAGGTATTTTTGTAAGAGCATTTCATCAACAGTATTCTCTTGGGGGACCTGAATAATAGCAGGACATTCTTTACCAAGCAATGGAAACAGGCCTGAATATAAATTGTGTTTTACTATGTTATAACCCCTCAATACCTCACCAAGCATAATGACATATCCAACTCCACCATGTGAATTAAGTGCAATGTCTGAAGTTCACTGGGGAAAATACTACCCTATTTTTGTGTATTGTGGTTTTAATGCTTTGTTGCCTTTATGTAACTTTTTATTTTAAGACTAAGTGTTCTTTCTGGCTTTTGACTCCTTACCTGTGTCAGAAATCGGCGCGTGATGCTGCTGAAAAGTTTTTAGTGAACTCAATTAAATGGCCAGACAAGGAAATGAAAACAAAACCGTCTCTTTACTAAGAGAACTCATGCTAAACAAAAACCATACAAGACACAGTGTAACACAAAACTCACGGTATAACAGTCCGAGATCAGAGCCAGCAAACACATACATCCAGGGGAATCCAAAGTTCGTTGTCCAAAGGGAAAGTCCGATAATTCATACACAGAAGCAGTCCAAAATAAGAGGGCAAGGCAGAACAGAATAGTCCAAGGAAACAGTCCGGGTCAGAAACACAAAATACCAAAACCGAAGATAATGCTGGAAAGTCAGAGCTGGGGTCTAGAACAATCTGGCAGCGTCCTTGTGGGAGGACGCTACCTAAATAGAGGCAAACAGGTGCAAACAATAGAGAGCAGGTGAAACTAATGTGAGTGATGAAGAAAGTAAAAAGACCGAAACTATGGTGAAACAAAACAGGAAGTGAGGTCAAAATAAAAGCCGGACAGGAAGCAGCGGAACCGAATCATGACAACCTGACTCCAAAGGAGAGCTGCATAAGAATTTCTATATGCCTAGACTGTCTGTTTATGCATAAATGGCAAATAAAAATGACTTAACTTTGTAATGTATTCACATATAATCCTTCTGGCAAGGTTGCGTCGAGTTGTGGGTGTGTTTATGTGTGCTTTAGGACATAACTGCTGTGAAACAATCAGAAATTTAATTTCTCTGATTCACTGTTTTGTTTTGCCAGCACTGCCCCCTGTCTTCATTCACATGACACCAGACTGGCCACATACCTTCTATAGGCTGCTTCGTCCCCGCCAGTGATGTGACATATCACTGCAGTGTTGTCCGCAAGCTTTAGGATGATGTTGTCTTCAGCACTGCCCCCTGTCTTCATTCACATGCTAGCATGCTTGACCACTGCTGCTTGCTGTCTCTGTTGTTGGAGCGGAATTAGAATATTGGCACAAAGATTAAAAGAACGACTCTTAGGTACAACTTGGATCCCTTCCTTCCTACCAACAAGCTGTTGAATGTCAAGGTCAAAGTGTTTATTTGCAGTTAGGAATGTTCGTGATAATGCTGGCTAAAGTCCTATTGCCAATCCTGACAGTTTGGGGCCTGCTAGTCAGAAAGTCCAGGAGCCAGTCACAGAGGGTGGGGTGAAACCCAGTGTAGAAAGTTTGTGGGGGATAACTGTTGAAGGCAGAGCTGTAGTCAATGAAGAGAATCCTGATGTAGGTAGGTACTTTATTGATCCCACAGGAGTTTCTATTTTCCAGGAGAGAAAGGGAATAGTGGGGGGCAGCCGCGATGGCGTCTGAGGTGGCCCTGTTGGGCCGGTAGGCATACTGCAGGGGGTCCAGGTTGTCCGGTATACTGCTCTGAATGTGGGCCAGCACCACTCTCTCAAAACATTTCATAATGACTGGGGTGAGTGCCACTGGCCTGTAGTTGTTCAGACAGGTGACTGGGCTCTTCTTGGGAAAGGGGGACGATGGTTGTGGTCTTAAAGCAGGAGGGAAGAATGCTCTGGCTGAGGGAAAG